TTGTTACAGCAGTACAGCATATTACTGTACTATATAAACTTTACTGTAGCTTTTATTGTATAAACAACATTTTTAAACTGTATGTGACTAGCTTGATTTTTTGAGTTATATAGTTTTTTAAAATAACAAATCATTTCACATTTTACTTCAGCCTCAATTTGTTCTTATTTTGATAAACTGATTTTGTATTTGATTTGTATTTGATCTGGGTGAACACCACATAACCCCTTAAACTTAACATTTCAATTATTAGGATTAAAGAGGTTATCTGATTAGTACAAGGATTATTTGGATTATTAAGAGATTGAGGCATATAACATATTTTAAAATCAGAGACGCATCCACGTACATAATGATAATATTTTATTGTTAATAATTATGATTATGTTGATGATAGTAATTTTGAGTAGTAATGGTGATAGTAATAAAAATACTAAAAAAATCACTCTTGTGTACATACCTTTTGTATGCAGTACTATTTTTAGTACAAGTAGTGGTAATATAATAATAATAATAATAATAAGACTTATAAAGCTCACAAATTCACTGCTCAAGGCGCTAAACTGTATTATTAAATAGTATTATTATAATTATTTTATTATTATTATTATTGCTGTTATTGTTATTATTCTAGATTTAATAATTTGCCATGGCAGTGAGATGTAATATCTCATATTTTCTATTATCATTTTTAGTTGATGTTTCAAAGACTGTTGAACAGAGGGAGATGGATCAGATGAAATCTTACGTTGAACAGTTATCTAGTATGATAACTGTTCTCAATCAACAGGTACTGTATGCAGATCTAATTAATAAAGTGGAATGTTAAATTTAAACATGGTGCGCACTACATTCACTAAAGTTTATTTTGAGCTTTCTTTGCCTCCTTCATATTTCTTAGGAAGACCTGGTACTGCTAAAATAATAATACATAAAATATATTTTACAAATGATAAAAAAATTATAGCCGAATGAATAAAGTAATAAAACCAATACATGAAGTAGCGACTCTCACCGTGGGGGCAGCAGACACAGAAACTGCTGCTTGTGATTTCATGGAAATAGTGCTACAGTTTAAGAACGATTTTTGTTATAACAATGTTTCATTTCCTTTTAATAAACAATGTTTCATTTTCTTTTAGATAACTCAGTGTGAACAGGACCTTATGTTCTCAACCCGTTGCGAGTGTGAACAGGTGGAGTGCGTGGTCAATTCACATAGGTATCCTAGTGGAAAACTCTGGCAGCAAGACCCTTGCACCGCATGTGTTTGTGAGGTGAGTTGGTCAATTTTAATGCACTGGTCAAGGATATCGGTCAGATATTAAATGGTCATTTAATTCCTAAATCATGTTATATCAACTGTGGGAATTTTTTTTTAATTGTTTCTTGAACATTTTTATGTTATTCCTTCTCTTTATGCTTCAAAGTATGTGTTTCAACAGATAGTAGTATTTACTACTGTACCTAGTATGTGGTCAGGGTGTAAGTATTTCTAAAGCCCTGATTACACCAAATAACCATTTTTCTATTTATAATATTTCATAACTATTTTCTTTATATTTGTTGGAATAGAATGGGGAGATCACATGCACTCTTTTGTCTGACAAGTTAGAATGTCGTGACCCTTGCTCTCTTGACCCTTGTCAAAATGGTGGCACATGTACTGGCTATCCTGGCTACCTAAACTTCACCTGTGCCTGTCCTCCTGACTGTTCAGGTAGCCAGTGTGAGCTGAGGGTCAGTTTCTGTAGCTTGAGCCCAACTGCTGGTCAGTGTGAAGTCTATGTTCCAAGGTTTTATTATAATATGTATGCTCAGAGTTGTGAAGAATTTTCAGGTAATTCCGGATTCAATAATTTATTCAGTGTCTAATGCAAATTTAGGCCCAATCTTACCAACTCAAAATTTTAAAATTTGGCGATATAAATATATAACCATCTTACATATTAATATTGTAACTATAAGATATTACAGCACATTTAAAAATCTCATTAAAAACCTAAAGATATTATGTATCACTAATTCCCTTTTTTTATTTAGGGTGTGATGGGAATCATAAAAACAATTTTGATTCTGTTGAGGCATGCGAGAACCTATGTATGCGAGGTGCTTGCTGTCAACGTTTCTACAGAAGAGGGCGTGGTGGGAGCACTTACCGTGCATATAATATAGTTGAAGATGAATTGAAATGTCAGGTATAAAAATACTTGTGTTCTTGATGTATTTAAACAAATTAATTGATTTCCTATATGTTTTTTCATGTGTATTTTATGTTTTGTTGTTTTTAGTGTCTTTATTGTTACTCCATTTTGTGCATACTTACCTGGACATACCAACTATTTCCATTTGGGGCATGTTGTGGCAAAATGGCTAAGTTGTAACAAAAATTGAAATTCAAGTTATTGGTATTTTCAGATACCTGAGTATGTGATCTTTAAAATGAGGGGTCAATCATTCAAATTGGACATTTCAAGCCTAAGTTATTGGAGAGTGATAGTACAGTACTCTTAGAGTCAAGATAAACAAGTTATTTGTGCATACATTGTTTAATAGAATGAACTATGAAAAATAACGTAAAATAAACTATTTGTTAACCACTTCCAGAACTAATACTTTGGGACATGATTAACCCTTTCACTGCGTGTACCTGGTAATACCGGGTATAAACACATGTTGTTGAATTGCGCGTACCCGGTACTACCGGGTATGTAGACAAAATATTGTTAAAAATCAGGAAGAGGTTCTGCGCCCTCTATAGTTTTTTTATATGAACTATAATTAACCTTTTACCGGGAAAAAAGTGTTTTCGAGTGGTTAGGCGCAAAATGGCGGGTGCACGGCCTCAAAACAGACGGTACAATGTCGACGAAGCTATGGACCAGATCTTTGCAGATACGGATAGGGAAGATAACTTTGAATTGGATGATTCTTGCATTTCTTTTCCCCCAGCCGACTATGATAGTGACGACATTGATTCTAAGGACGAAAACGATGATTCTCTCAACTTGGGAGGCCTTGCACAGGGTCAAGGTGGCAATGCCTTGTCCGCAGAGTTCCTTTCCACATTTCACACAATAGAACAGGCTAATTTTTATAGTTCTAAAATGAAGTAACCGTATGATGTTTGCAACGATGCATTTATATTTACTACCTGGATTATATAAAGCAAAAATAAAAACATATGGCAAAAAGTACGTCTAACAGTGATTTTCTGCAAAATTTTATATTTTCACAATTTTGAAGAAAAACTTTGATTATTTGCGGTTTTGGAATAAAACGATCAAACTAACCATTTTTTTTTGTTTTTATTCATCATGTGTGTCTGCATCATTATAAATTTAAAAAAAAAACATTCCATAAAAATTTCATTGGGAAAAATTGGGTTTTTTATCAAAATTTGAGAAAAAACAGAAATTCAAAATGGCGACTTTGAGGTCACATGACAACCTAATTATGCAAAATACCAAATATCAATGTTCCTCGCGTAGGCCAACCTATTGCTCGAACCAACACACAAAAAGAATTTCGAAATAACCTCTTTTAGTATTTTTTTAAAATTATTTTAGAAATTAACTTTTTTCGTTAAAAAAAGTCCCAGCACAGGGGGTGCATATACCTACAGCAGTGAAAGGGTTAATAAGACATTAAACTGTTGATCTATAGTGAAAAACAAATTTGGATTTTTAGGCAATTTTTTGAGCGCCCATATTTTATAGCTCATTTACTCAATACTGGACTGTGCGACAACTTAACCATTTCGCCACAACATGCCTCATTTGTTCTATAAATGGACATCCCTACAAAAAAATAGAACCATCCATTTCAGGGCATCACATTTTCGCTAGTGTAATAAATATAATGAAGTAACTCATTGTTCTTACTCCTAATATTTTTCAGGAAAAAAGCTTGGCGGAATGTAAAGCCATAGCAACGTTTAATCCATCAAGTGATCGCATCTCAGAAGTGATGGCATTCCACGTTGGCCATTCCTGCTCTGGTGGTATTTGCGAATTATCAAAGAAATGCATTGCGGGTAACAGCTCATATGATGTTGGGGACAGTTTTATGTCCGGATGCGAAGAATGTCAGTGTCATCCAGAAGGCATTATTAAATGCAGGTATATTGACAATGTCATAGTTCAAATGTTTTGGTTTTGCTGTGTTCTTTCACTTTGAACACATGATTTTACCTTGTATTTTTTTATATTAATCATCTAAAATATTGAAACATATTGCAGTAATAATTTATATGAAATATATAACGATAAATAGTACTGTATGTTCTCGCGTATAAGGGGAGGCTTAAAATAGCAAATTCCGATCAAAAAGCCGGGGGGTGGGGGATGTCATCTTAGACTTGCAATGCATACAAATTTTAGAATTTTTAAAATCATGTTTGTCTTATGTGCGGGTCGTCTGTAAGTAACACACAAATCAACTGCTGAAATGAAGCTACAAAGTGTTAGTACTAGATGCAGTATTAAGACCATAAAAAGCAACCAAACGTAGAAATTCTGACAGTGAAACAAAGGGTCGTTTTTTTCATCTAAATCTCGCGGGTTGTCGTATACGTGGATCGCCTAATATGCAAGAATATATGGTAATAACAATTACGATAAAGTGTTAAAGACGTGTATAATAATTAGCTGCTGTTGTTGTTGGTAGTAATGTTGCAAGGTCTAATTTTCACACTCTGATTTGTTTAGATGTACAAATTTGGTAGTCCGAAAGGAAATTAGAGACATGACAACAGAAGAAATTGAGGCATTCCAGAGAGCTGTACAAGTGTTGCGCAATTCAGGACCGGGTAATGAATGGGAGCAGTTCCGCGATCTTTACAGCCGTCACGTCATGCATGCACACTCCACTCCTTTCTACTTGTTGTGGCATCGCGTGTTTCTACGTACTGTAGAAAGACGGTTACAGGTAAAGAATAATAAGAATTCTTAAGATGTTGGATTTTTTATAGAAACAAATACATTGATGAACCATGATCTTACAATTCACTCTGACCTATAAATTAAATAGGACCTTTTATTGCACTATTATGATAAATGTTTCCTTTTTTATTCTAGTTTCCATATACATTTTTGAGACTTAATTCTATTTTTGATAAATAAAATAATTATTAATTATGCTTGTTTAACAGGAAATAGATTGTTCTGTTGCTCTCCCTTACTTTGATTTTACTACTGACGTTCAAAACTTTTCCCGTGCCATCATTTGGCAACCAAACTACTTTGGTGGTGATGGAGATGGAGGTTGTGTTCCCGATAATCCTTTCCGTGTCTCCGGCCCTTGGGATCCATGTATTGTACGCAAATTTCAGTCAAACATCAACCTTCCAACGAAAGTTGATATCGCTCGTGCTTTAGTGAATTCCGATTTTGATGCCTTCACAAAGTCAATACAGATGTATATTAGCTATGTGTTTGCTTTCACCGGTGGACAAATGAGCTCGTCCATGGCCCCGTACGACCCCTTGTTTTTCGCTTTCCAATCGTATGTCGATATGCTGTATTGGAGGTGGCAGCAATATCATGGCAAGGAGATTTACCCACAATTCCTTAGGAATGTTAAGATGGTTCCTTTCAACCTACGACCCATAGATTCTTTTGATACCGAAGGACAGCTGTGTGTTACGTATGCCTTGCCAACGTTTGGAGATCCGTGCAATATCACAGATCCATTATTCAACTCGGAAGGCTTTGATAAATACGGATTTGACAGGAATGGGTTTAATCGTGATGGATATGATAGGTAGGTGACAAACTTTATATATTACCTCTTTAAATACCAACTAATTTTTTTCATCAGTGTGTCACAGCGCCACCAACCTTGACTTTAATTTTGGGGCTATATAAATAATAGCAATCAATTGATCTAATTTTTGTCTTCATTATTCTTCATCATTATCATTAGCATAATTACCATCATAAATATTTATCATAATCATCAGAGTCAATATCACTATGTTGAACATCATCAAGACCACCATCATCAATATCACCTTCACAGCTTTTCATCATTGTCATCAGCATCATAATAATAATAATATGTCGGTCTTATATAGCGCTTCATGCATAAAGCCTCTAAGAAAGTATAATGCATACTTCAAGTATTAAAATGCACGCCATCGTGTTGGGATTCAATATTTCGACATTAATTATGTCATCATTAAGAATAAAGCCTCTAAGTGCTTCACATTACTACCCCGGTCATTGGATCAAACACGTATGGAACACATACTCAGCTCCCTGGGTAAAATTCCATAATATTGCAGCTAGTAATCAGCGCAGTTGTGTTTCAACCTACCAGGTACTCACTTGTACTCCTGGGTGGAGAGGGGCAACCGTAGATAAGGTGCCATGCCCAATGACACAAACGGTTTGCACAGCGAGATTTTCAAACCCCCGACCTCAAGGTTGGGAGTCCAAGCCACAACCGATGCGACAAACGCTTATACATGTATCATCAAAGCAATGATCATAAGCATCAGTATATTTATGATTGTTACCACAACCACTATCATCATTAATATTATCATTTTACATCATTGTTATTATCGTCATTATCATCATTGGTTTTATTTCCACTATCATACATACAATTAAAATTATAGGCATGCCTTAAAACCTGTCTTTTCAATTGAGTTTAGGTTATGTTAGGGCTGGCTTTCGTCATTTTTGCACTCATTTCATTTTAATCTTTTACAGCGCTCTAGAAGTACTAAAGAATACTCAACGTTTAAAAAAAAACAAGTACTTTTGTTTGTATACAGGTCTTCTTTGGGATTGGGGTTTCTGCGGTCTTTAGCAGCTTTTGTCTCTATTTAGATTAATAAATATAAAAGACATTTGTTAATTTGTGACAACAGAAAAGTGGTCTTTAATTGGAGGTGGTCTTTAATTAGAGGGATCTTTAATTAGAGAGAGACCTGTATTACAATTAATTGACAACAAATTGTGTTTTCCTTAGATTCGGTTTTGACATTCATGGAGTTGATCGCAATGGTCGTGAAGATCGCCGTGACATCTATATCTACTCAGGATATGATTTTGAGGGTTATGACCGAACTGGCTATGATCGTAGGGGATTCAACCGCTATGGATTTGATCGAAGTGGTAAGACAGGCCATAGTTTACTAACTAATAACACATCCATCCGTCAACAGTCGGTTGTATTTACTTGCCGAATAATAAGCAACATGTGAGAGAGATAAGCCTTGTACGCATTCAATTAATTTTACCACGGTTAAATCCTGCTGTTCGCTCCAGCATTTAAATACATGAAGGTTTTTACAGAGACAGCGGCTGAATGACAAATTGTAAGATTTTTTGTGCGTGTATTGTTAGTCTAATCATGCATTGTCAGTCTAGTAATGCATGTTTATACACATTAGGGAAGGTATAACCAAGGTGTGGCTTGCATTGATATTTTTATTTCAAGAAGCCAGACTGGTTATTTTTTTTGCATAAAATTTACTTGAATAATCTAACTGCGCAGCTTGGTTAATTTGATAAAGAGGAGGGATTTTACTCATGATTGTTCACACTTTTGTGTTTCATATAAATGTTAGTTTGACCACAAAAGTCAAAACTTAAACAGAGCTGTACATAGTCTATTTTGTGAAAACTTTACCTAGATGAGCCAACAAATGCTATTGTTACCTCCAATTAGGACACCTCTTGGTGAGATTGCAACTGGTTTTGATCCCCACCCACCACCAAAATCAAATTTAAAAATTGCACTGATTTTCTTTTAACAGGATTTAACAGGGATGGTTACGACATTAATGGCTACGACATTTATGGATACAATCGCTATGGCTACAATCAATCTGGTTATGATCAACGTGGTTACAACCAGTACGGCTATAATAGCAACAACGAACCTGATGTAACCAATTATTACAAGAACGGTGGTTTCAGTGACCGCTGTTTCAACCGTGCTGGTTTAAATCAAGCAGGATACGACCAGTATGGATTCACTATACAAAGATACAATCAGGAATTCTGTAATTATGCATTCCTGGGTCCGCATATTTTATGGATCTCGTATCGTCTTGACCAGGTCTTGTTTGTCCAAACAGTGCGGTTTTTAGAGACTATATTGCGTGTTTGCCCGCCTTTGACACAGTTGCCAAATGTGTGGTTTGAACAAACATGGACGAGTCAACAAAAAGTGGTTTCCATACCGCAAGGATCTGTAACAAGATTTCCTGCGTCTGTGTATACTTCCAGGTAAGAAATGATTCAATTCAAGTAAAATAAATATATTAATGTCAATTGTGAAAAATAGTCAATATAAACAAAAACGTTTTGCATAAGGAAAATCAAATTTTTTAATTAATTTTTTCATTTATAACTTATTTAGCCAGGATAACATTTCAGTAATATACATACAGGGTATATATATATACTGTTTTTAAAATGGTCTTGGTATCTTGGTAAAACTACTATAACTAACACAAAGTTGAATAAGTATTTATCATCATTTACATCATCATCATAATCATCATCATATTGTAATTGGTATTAACATTATTATTAGTATTATTGTTGCCATCATCACACTAGCCGCCGATGCTGTCTACATTATTATAAATATAGTTTTCTCATTATTGTTATTACTGTTTCTATAATAATTTTACCATCAAATGTTTTCGCCTTCATCATTATCAATCACATCAATTGATCAGACCCTTTTTATCTTCAGTTTTTGTTTTGAAGTAGAGTCGTTGCTTAGTAACTGTGTTTGCGAGGAGAGCTACGCCACATGCTCCTTCAACCCATGTACCATCAACACTTGCCGGGCTTACCCCTCCGCTGTCTGCGTTATAGACGTATGCGGTGGCTGTAGTGCTAAATGGTTTGATAATGATCAAATTGTGAATTGCAAAGGTGAACTGGCACCAGGTAATAAACTGAAAAAGAGAAGGCTATGATTGACATATTTTAGGTCCTTAACTATTTTTTTTTTAAAGAGGGAAGGATCTACTTTTTGACTGGCATATTATGTATTCTGTAGTTTGGTATTATTCATGTAAAAGAAAGTCAGGTCTTAATTTTGGTTAACTTAATTTAAGCCTTGATCTAGGTAATATTTGTCTACAAGAGAGGTGGGTCCCACAAGTAATAGTGTTAATACTGTAATAAAAATGAAAGTAGAATCTCCATTTTGATTGACATACCGTATATTCTGTCAGTAACTAAATAAATAGATGTTGATTGACGTACAGGTTTTAACAAGAAATCATCCAGAAAGCTGCATTTGATATTCATAAATGGAATTAATTTTATAAAGCTTTTAAGGAATTTTAATAGATTATTCCAGACTGAGTAGGAATATTCATTGTAGTTATTTTCTTATTTTTAAGATGGGTGTACTGTTGGAACCATGAATTATGATCATGGGGAAACATGGAAGACAGATTACTGCACAACCTGTACTTGTGAGGTATGTATGCATCCGTACTATGTAATAAATGGGGCTTGCCACCATCAGTGACCAAAACAAGAAAATTGATTTTTTAATATATTATTTATTCTCCACAATATAGGCTTTAAAATGATGGGCCATTTACTGGAATTGACTTAACTGTTGCCAAAGTTATGAGTATAAGTTGTATGGCTTCATTGTACAAAGTATACAATACTGCCATATTCTTATGTTAATTACTCAGTTTAACGTTTAGCGACTCGGATTTCTTTTTTTGTTTCGGATTGGGGCCTGGGAAAGCACTGCATGATCATTCATGCGTAAGATTTCCCACATCAAATTCGATGTGGGATATCGTTATGCATAACTGATTTTGTAAATCACTTGATTGGCTTACTTCATGCATATCAATTAATTTTGGTAATTGTTAAATTGAAGACTAGTCTAGGTGGCTAAGCTAGGCCAGCTCTCTTTTGCCTACCTACTTGAATTAAAACAGTTTAGTATTGGTTCTTGGCCTGCAGAATGACATGGACTGAAAAATGTAGTAACTTACAGACAACCCTGTTCACTACTAAGCTACACAGATTTAGGCCTACTAGGTACGGTAGAACATTGTTAAAAAGGTACTGCATTAAGTAAGAACTTAAAATAGGCCCAACCAAGCCTCTCTCAATTAGACTCTTATAAGGCCTGGGCCATCCTCCTGGAAAGAGTGTTGCTGTGTTTATAATATGTTGGGCCATCTAGCCTAAGCTTAATTCGTCTTTTGCTATTGCCCACTTGTCTTACTATAATCTATTTTATATATTTTAGGTCAGTTTTATTAGGGAGACCTATTTTCTAGCCATGCCTAACTAGTCGACGCAAGTGACCCAGTTTCTGTACACGATTGTGGCCCCTAAAAATGTGAGCATGGTGATTGGTTGAAATCGTTTTCGGTCCACCCATTTATCCAAATACGGAATATAAGATTACATGATTCTTATGGCATCCGCATGCACTGCATGCAGTGTTTTACAAGTCCCTTATGTTCCATCTCTAAATCAACTTATTTGTTGGCGGCGCTGTCCAGAATGAGAAAAAAATCGTGAGGGACTTGTGGCAAGTCTACACCATCGCTATCATCACCACCTAACCCTATCACCACCGTCACTGCCTGCTCCTCATTTGAGCTCATTTTGATTATGAGGTGATCTGCTGGGCCTCAGTTCAATTTAGGCTGAATTCATAAAAAGCATATACTGTACTTTCAGTGCTATTGTTATAAATGAAATTAAATATTTGACTTGCATACTTTATATTCAAGTAAAATGCTAAGCCATATATGAAAGGAGAATTTATTATTCCATCTAGAGAAGTCAAGTTTCCTGTGAAAGTGAGATCTGTCCAACTACATCTAGCTGTTCTCATCCTGGTAAAAGATCAAGTGAATGCTGCTCGGTCTGCAAAGGTCAGTGACAACTATAAATATCTCCAACCTCAATGTTTCACTGCCACACCATAATAGTATAATTATTTTGACCACTGTACCATATTGGTATAATTATATATTTGTATTTGTTTCTTTATTAGACTGTCAGTATCAGGATTTCTTCATCAGAAATGGTGGCAGTGTTATTCTGGATGAAAATAGTTGTGAAACCTGCCATTGTCAGGTAAACTAAATAGATTTCCCCAATTCTTGGCACTTTTCCTTCTATATTTTGTAAGCAAATTTTTTAAAAATGTAGATGTGTGAAACATATATTAGATTAATGTTTATATGGTGCTTATTTTGTTTTCGTCAACAGGAGGGCAATGTAAGGTGTGAGAGGCTACCTTGCCCAGATGTTCATTGTGAAAACCCCAAGATACCCAGGAATGGTTGCTGCCCTACTTGTGATGGTAAGCAACTTAGTTCTTATTATAGTAGAGATTACCGCAATGGACCTTTTATGTTCATATTTTTTGTGCTGACATAGTCAAATCACATTGGTAAAACACATCTTTTTTCGTAATTATAAAACATGATTCATTTGTTATTGTTATTTCTTTTATTGATCTTTCCATTCATGTATTTCATATACCTGCACTGTTTCTTGGAGCCACTATCTTGGTTGCAGACTCTGATCACCCATTCAACTGTGGCAGGGCACCTTTGTTCGTGCCACCTAGGTAGAGATGTAGAATTGTGACAGAGCAGAGGTGGATGGTTGACCCTTTGAGACCGTGCACTTTTTGCCACCACACCTTTCTTCTCTTTATTTTTATACTTTGTTTTAAATCCTCTTTAGTTGATGGAAAGTGCATAGATGCAGTCCATGCAATATGCACTGTATAAATGGCAATTCATTATTATCACTGTAGTTTGTGTAATGATTTATACACTAACATACAGATCTCTACTCTAGACAATAGGCAATCAATCAAATGTACCAGTAAGACAAAGAGAATGATTTGATAGAATTTATGTAGGGTCCTAAGAAATTAAACTGCTCATGGCACACACATCTACCTGTAGTCTATTTTATGAACACCTGGGTAAACCAAGAAATGCCAACTTAGAACTGAGCTATTCCACTTTCACCTATATTATATAAGCTTATATGAACTCATTTTTGTACATGTAGGCTGTGATTATAACGGATCTCGGATGGCTAGTGGGGAATCGGTACCTTTCGGTGATTGTGAGACATGTACATGCATGTCTGGAAACGTCACTTGCGAGAAGCTCTGTCCTAAATTAACGTGTGAAAATCAGTTTATACCCCCGGGTAACTGCTGCCCTCAATGTCCAGATGGCTGTCAGTATGAAGGGATGACGTTCAGGAATGGAGAGTTCTTTACACCGATGTCAAATCCGTGTCTGCGATGTTCCTGTATGGTAAGCCTCATTCAAATAGTCACTTTATCATAGCTGACATATGTACGTGGAAGATTTCCTTATTGTTGGCTACAGCCATCTCATATGAGAAAATACAGATTATGAAAAAGTCCACCATTGTCAGTTTGGAAATTACCATTGTCATATTTTATACCCATTCATATTTCTGGATGAATGGAGACAAATTGTTTTTCTAATATCAACTTTTATGTGATGTGTGCCTATGATTTTTCAGAACCCAACCAAACAGACTTTGATCGAACTAAATCAAAAATCCAATCTTGTCTTTCTGACATCCATGCCTGGTTGAATACTAATCGATTAAAACTAAATAAAAAGAAAACAGAATACATGGATATTCAGATCGAAACAACAGCTGGCAAAGGTTAACGATGGTTTACTTAAAGTAGGAGACTCGCTAATTGAGCCTTCCGAAACTTGTCGTAACCTAGGGATTGTCTTTGACAACAACCTTTCTATGGAAGAACACGTAAACTCTGTATGTCGATCTGCGTACCTCTCCCTGTATAACATCAGTCGCATTATGCTTATGTTGCAACATCAGTTGCTTATGTTTAGAACTTTAAAAAGTTTTTGTTCTGGATATCGTATTTATACAATTGCTTTTTTTCTAGGATTCTCTTGTGAGATGCAACCCCACTAAATGTGAAGACCCGGGTTGTGACAACCCGGTCACAATATTGGGAAGCTGCTGTCAAACCTGTAGCGACAGTAAGTAATGTACTATAATGTGCTATATAGGTACTTATAATTATATATTAATGTTCATGGTGCTACGCAGATACTTCAGTTTATCATGTTTAGTTACTGTAATTTCCTTCGCGATTAATTCCGGGTTCTCTCTGTGCTACGACAGCTTTAATATATGTGAAGTCTCACCACGAAATGAGATGCATCGTTGGTGAAATCATATTGAGATATTCACCAAAACAGGCCAAAGTCAATATTTTTACAAAATTTTGATTTTAATGTTTTTGAATAATTTGATACTTATATTTTATGATTGTATACTTTGTAAGTGAATTTTCTTGCCAAAACCGGGTTCTCTGCACATATTCTGTAATTCTAGTCATATTATTTGTACAGGTTAGTTTATCTTTGAGGTCGATTTTCTCAAAACGTGGTTCTTATACACCTAAACTTTAAATGCTCACATCTCTGGATTTACTTATAGTAGGGAAGCCATTCAAAAAGCAAATGAAATCTTATAATGTGATCTACCCAAATATGATATAAATTCAATTTTTGAATTTCTAACCATGAGACTCATTTTGTGGCGAGACCTCACATATGTGATTGCATAATATATCGGTTGAGTAAAGAGGTGATTTGGTTGGATTAAGCCTGTGATATACCTAAAGATTTCTGGGTCTAGCCTTCACAACGGGAGGTTGCACATTAAATTTCTGTCTGAAGAACGTTTTCATACAACTACTTGGGAACTTTTTGTTGAATGGCTATGCTCAAGCCAAAACCTACACAATATGCTACTCACGATACTACTTCTTAAAAACATTCAAAATTCTTTGCCTTTTCCCTTTTTTAGAATGTGTTTACAATGGTAGAATTTATGAAGATGGTCAGACATGGGTGTCATCTAATCAGTGTCAGGATTGTACATGTCAAGGGTCAGAGGTTGTCTGTGTAGAAGCACAGTCCTGTCAACAAACTTGCGAGAATGGATACATTAGACCAGGCCAATGTTGTTCTGATTGTTTTGGTAATTCCTTTGCTTCTGTCTCTTATACACATCTAGATGTGTATAAGAGACAGATATATATATATACACATATATATTTATTTATTTTAATTGTATATCATTTTTATCTATGATTTTTATGTTAATTAATTATAGTTAATTTTTTAATTTTGTCTTTATTGACATGCTTGAACTAGAATTATTCTTAGTAGTTGATAAAGTTGTTAATAATTAGAAACACCTTTGAGTTGCTCATATGCAATGACCATATAAATTATCAACTTTCAGCAAGTCAAAGATAGAAAAAAAAGAACAGTTATTTTCATACAATTCACTACAAAAATCCCTAAATTAATTTTATGCCATAAATGAGGCTTACCATCCCCAAACCAGCATCAGTGCCCAAAAAATGAAAACTGACTTTTAAATATATTCTTATTCTCCACATTGTAAGCTTTAAAATGATTTATTGGAATCGAATTTTTCAAAGTATTATGGCTTCTCTGTTCTAAAGTATACAATACTGGCACATTTTAATGCTAAATACTCAGTTTAACAATTAGTGACAGTATGCCGGTTTTGGAATGGCAAGCCTTATATTTTAATTGTACCTGTTCATATGCAAAGAATATAATATTTTATAAACTTCTGCTAATTGGCAAAGACAGTTTTTCTTGTTATAAATGTCAGTTGAAATCTAATAACTTATTTGAATATATAAATTAGGCATCTCATTTTTTTTTTTTAATTTAAGTGTTTTATACACACACAACACATACACACACGTATGTCTTTAAAGATTTTAATAATTAGTAAGCGCTTGTAATAATTAGTTGATAGCAAATGCTTGTATTTGTTAGTTATAGTAAATACTTGTGGACATGTTCCCTTTTATATGGGATTTTTAATTTAAGTGTTTTATACACACACAACACATACTCACACATATGTCTTTAAAGATTTTAATAATTAGTAAGTGCTTGTAATAATTAGTTGATAGCAAATGCTTGTATTTGTTAATTATAGTAAATACTTGTGGACATGTTCCCTTTAATATGGGATTGTGCAATTTATCTGACAATGTATTTTGCTTTTATCCTGTTTCCTCATCCCCCCTCCCTTTGATTTGCTCTACATTTTTATCATCAAGCATGGAAACATACTTTGTTAATACTGTAGATTATTGTTTGATTATGTACTGTACATTATATATCCTGAGATGCAGATCCACAGATTTTTAGTATTATGTTTGCTATGAGCTTTCCAAACATACCAATCTTAATATTAAAATTCATTGAAAAGGATAAAATGATTATTAAATATAAATTTTGTAGGTGGATTCCTTTGCTTACAATTTTAATCATTGACTTCAAATTGGCTGTCAAATATCATATGAGGCAAAGATAAGTCAAACCACTCACTCTTCGCAAAAAGTTGATTTTTAGTTATTAATACATGGTCAAAATGAAAGTAAAAGATAAAATGGTAAAAGAATCATTTAAATTCGACATTTTGTTATGAAGTTACAGGAGCTTAAAACAGCAGCTTATAGAAAAGTATTTGAGAAGTCAGCCTTTCGCAGGCAGAGACCATCACCAAAAGCATGTGTAGATATATAAATTTTAGTTTAGTACATTAAAATAAATTTTGAAAATGTTGACATTCCAACATCTTTTGTCTATTGTCTCCGAAACACGATTTGCGAGGAGTGACTGGTTTGATATACCATAGATAAAAATGTTGACATCTACTTGACATCGAAAGTAACAAGATGTCAACTAGAGCAGAAGTTGTTAACTTGAGAGACAAAATTTATCCCAGTATATATATAGTAATTTGTGCAACTGCATCTTTAATTTTTAATCAACATTTATATAGTTGTTTGATACGTAGCATAGAAGCCAACTTTACTATGTTTTTTTTTGTCTGTGTGTGCGTAATTTCACCTCAGACTGTAAAGATCAGTTTGGTGTGCTGCACCCCGAAGGATCGTCATGGATACCGTCACATGACATGTGTCAGAATTGTTCATGCTATGATGGCCGTGTCACATGTGACATCATAGAATGTAACCACATGTGCGATTACCCAATCTTTAAGCCCGAGCAATGTTGCCCTGTGTGTGAAGGTAGGAGAAGGTTGCATGTGAACTCATTGCATGTATCACTTGGGTGGCTAAAGCCTTTCCACATTGCACTGCACCTAGTAATGGCAGCTTGATACTAATCACATCAAAACAGGTGCATGTTTGGTAACATGTTTTATATAGATTTTATTGGATATATTTTTTTTATAACAAAGTGTTGCACTCACTTGGGATGGCTAAGCATGTCATAGTGGTATGTGCACACCCGCTGAGGACAATTTTTACTGAGGTGTAAACTCACTGAATAATCAATATCATATTTTAGCAGATTTATTGAAACTCAGTAATAGAGAACATGGAGCTGGTATGACCTGGTCTGAATAAACATGGTCATTCCTATGTGATTCTAACACAATAATACAACATATTTGCATAATTTGTAATAATTTATTTGTTGCTTAACTTCAACAGCTTCTAAATACAAAGTTTCAAATTAAGTCAGTTCACATGAAATGTGATGATGTTCATAATATAAGTAGCTATGATAATTTTAATATAAATTGAATATGTTGGTGTTGTATAGTGGCACATCATGCTCAAGGCTTGTGTTTTTGTCCTCTTTGTTCTTTGCTGTTTCCTTATGTTTTGTTTTGTCACACAAGGTGCGCACACATTTGCATCAAAAAATTATAACAACTAACAGTTATGTTATGATTGCTATATCTGTGGTAATAGGTTTATTGGTTGGTGTATATTGAAGGCTTTATAATCAAATTTAAAAGAAATTTTTCTGGCAACAAAAATAAATCTAGTTATTGAGCACTGACGGTCTGAATTTATTAACTTTGCTGGATGTTAGGTATAAATAAGTAGAATTATCGGTGGATTCAAGCAGGCCCCCCCCCCCCAATAAAATTATTAAAATTTAAAAAAAAGAAAATTCTACTCAAATTCTACTAGTCTAAGAGTAAAAGTCCCTCTTTGGGCCCCCTTTACTTCAAATTTCTGGATCCACCACTGAGAATAGATACATTCTTAAGTGATACAGACTGGGGCCTGACCTTGTAGGGATAGGGAAAGGAGTTACATTGTATAATTAAGTACATTAGATACATTCTATTAGGGAAAGGTATTAAATTGTATAAGTAAGTAAAATAGATATATTCTGGGGTGATACAGATTAGGGTCTGATTTTGTAGGGATAAGAGGAAGGAGTTAAATGGTAATAAGTAAGTAAATTAGATATAATTCTGGGGCCTGACCTAGTAGGGAAAGGTGTTAAATTGTATAAGTAAAATAGATATATTCTATGGTGATCTTGTAGGGATAGAGAAAGGAGTTAAATGGTATAAGTAAGTAAAATAGGTGATTCAGACTAGGGCCTGACCTAGTAGGGAAAGGAAGTAAGTAAAATAAGTACATTTTGTTACTTTTTGATCTGTGCTTGTTTCCATAAATAAATATAAATACTTCTTGACTTGGTCTGTAAATTTATCACTGCAAAAAAAAATAGTTTTAGGTGCAAGTCCCACTGGATTAATATTTGTGTTTCACACTAAATTGAAATACTAATGTTAAATAAAATGGACCATTCCACTAAGCCACGCCCCTTGGATATTGTTGCTAAGGTCCTATTTCTGGCCTTGTTTTGATTGGTCAGCTGTTGAGTTCCATTTTAATTAGCGTTTGGTATGATTTTCTAGGTTGCTTTTACAATCAACGTGAAATAGCGAATGGTGCTACGTTTAGTGGGCCAAGTGGTCCGTGTGAGCAGTGTGTATGCCGCGGTGGAACTGTGTCCTGTAGTACCATCCAGTGTGGGCAGACAGCCTGCCAACATCCTGTCGTCTCACCCAGTGAATGTTGCCCTGTTTGTGAAGGTAAAGGTGCTTCTTAATTTTGATAAGTTTGTTTAAACTAAATTGTATATTTTTTTGAACAGCAAGAGATTTGTCATTTTCTGGATAGAATATACTGTGTCGCTCTATAACTAGATGCCATTTTGAGAATTGTGCAGCCATTTGCAGTATTGCAACAAAGCTAAGTATGTCCCACCAACATGCTATAAGGTAAATTTCCCACCGATTAGTAAAGGACAACTTCAAAAAAAGGTATCCGTTCGTTTTTGAAGTCTGATGTAGATAGCCTATCAAATAGTGACTTTAGAATGTTTGAGACCCAGACATATCTCCCGACTTTAAATTGACAAAGATCGAAACATGTTAATTATTGATACAATGTATACATATACCAGCTTAGAAGACAAAATGTTTGACAAAGGCAGACAAGCATACACTTGATAGGTATTTGATAGTCGGTAATAGAAGGGCTAATTTAGTGGGGGTGCTCCGGCCCCCCTTCCTCCTTTTGAAAAGTGAAAAGAAAGAGAAAGAAAGAAAAAGAAATTATTGTTAGCCCAAAATGCCTTAAAGGTTATTTACGGACCAAGTAATTAGAGCCACATGCATTACCCACCTATTGTCGGATTCTATTGCAATTTTGAATATTTTTGTTTATTAGATTGCTACTACGAACAGCAGCTTTATACAAATGGGCAGAGATTTACCAGCGCTGGTTGCCAGGATTGCATGTGTAGGAGTGGAACGGTTGACTGTCAACAGTTAAATTGTCCTGTGGTTAGATGTGATTATCCAATTCAGAGGCCAGGACAATGCTGCCGTCAATGTGATGGCAAGTACTGTAATACTACTGTAATAGCTAGACGCCATGTTGTGGTGGGGGGGCGCTAAAAATGCGCAAACAAATTTAATTACGTTGTTAGTGGTCGGCATCACTATAACATTGTTGCTTTGCTTGCCTTTTGTAAACTGCATAATCACTTGCGTCAAGTGGTTAGATGATTTGAAAAAAAATCTTTACTTTAAATTTATCATTGAAAAGTATTGCAAGAATTGTTATTTTTAACAATAATTTAAACAAATGACAAAAGAATCTTGTGTAAACTGGTACCTCACTTAGGCCCCCAACATGGTGTTGGTGGCTTCACTTTTTTCTGTACAATGATTGGCCGATGAGCAATCCAGCTATTATAATTTATAGTAGAGAACAGTGGTTGTGAAGCATGAATCATCCAGTTCATATTCAAATACTGCCCTCAATGGGAGGTATTCACAATAAAAAAAAAAAACTTTCTCATTTTGGTGTAATGATGCCATAGTATATGTTTGTGCCTGAACATATTTTTGTTTATATCTAGTCTTAACACAGTATTAACTCTTCATATATTTGGTACACAAACAAAAAATTAATTATGGAATGTAAAGTTTCTGCCTTTAAATTCTATTGATCACAATATGTAGCAAAATTGGAGAATTCATAAAATTACCATGGTCTTATCGATGTGAGTTTAGATGCAAATTTTGAAATCTAAGAAAAACAAGTGATATCTGCTTCTATTTTGGGGAGCGCTTTACTACATTCAAATGAAAGTGTCAGGAATGGCAAACATCATTATTGTATTATCAAGCTCCTGTCTCTTATACACATCTAGATGTGTATAAGAGACAGGTATAATTAAGTACATTAGATACATTCTATTAGGGAAAGGTATTAAATTGTATAAGTAAGTAAAATAGATATATTCTGGGGTGATACAGATTAGGGTCTGATTTTGTAGGGATAAGAGGAAGGAGTTAAATGGAAAATGCCTCCGACGGGATTCGAACCTGCGACCTCTCGCTGACAAGGCGAGTGTCATAACCACTAGACCACGAAGGCTTCATGGTTGAACAGGTCCAAATACCCGTCGGGAACATTGTATTACACAATGCTATGCCTCAAGAGGGCATATATATATATATATTCTATTTACTATATTATATTTGCTATGCTGATATGGAAGTGTAGTTTACTGCACAAAAAATGTTGCAAGTATGTAAAATTTATTGTGGTTTACAAAAACAAATTTGATTTACAGTACACTATTATTAATAAGAATAATAATAATAAATACAATATTTTGATATTAGGTTGTGATTATAAAGGAGTGCTATACAGGAATAAAGAAGAGTTCCGAGATAATGTTACATGTAGGGATTGCCAATGCAGTGATGGATATGTCAGTTGTACCCGTGTACAATGCCAGTCAATTCCTTGCCAGTATCCAATGATCCCTCCTGGCGGTTGTTGCCCGGAGTGTTCAGGTATGTCTTAAAAAATATATCTGAATGTTTACTTTCATGGTAACCCGTTGCGTGATGGTTACTTCAGATATTCAACATAGACACCAGGTGTAGGATATGCTTTTGGCGGATCCAGCTCTCTTGATTCACACGAGAAAAAATGTTGTCGCTGTCTCGTGCCAAGGAAAATTTAGTGCATATCCTCTGCTACATTGCGTCTGTGGGAATGCGCATCCGTGAAAGATTAGTAAACGTACCATGTAATATCCAGTAGGAAAACAGACATCGCGGTGGCTTGAAACACTTCCAAGATAATCAGACCCCTCCCTTCTTCAGTAACATCGAAACCCCTGTAGATCCAATCCTGACGCCACTTTCGCCATATCTTCACTGTGTATTATTTTCAGTATTTGAAAAATACATATATTTTTAGAAAAATTCAACCTTTTTTAGGCTGTGATTATAATGGAAGATCACATGGAAATGGGGATGTATTTGTGGGAATCGATCCATGCGAAAGTTGTAATTGCCGGGAAGGTGAGGTCCAGTGCCAGAGAATTCCGTGTCCTCCAGTGAGGTGTACACATCCGATCAAACGACCTAATGTGTGTTGCAAATCCTGTGAAGGTAATACAGAAAAGGTTGGGAGGCACCATATTTTAAGATAGAATTTTAATTTCTAATTTCTTTATGTTCTCATTTTTTTAAGGTCGCAATTCTACGGATTTATATTTTCCACTATCAATCATATTTATTATGTTTGTATGTAATTAAGTGTTGCTATTATTTATTTTTGATTTTTGCAGGTTGTGAATTTGAAGGTAGATTTTATCGAAATCTTGAAAGAATCCCTCGTGATGATATATGTGAAGAGTGTACCTGTTCCCAAGGTAGCGTGGATTGTCGAAGACAACATTGCAAACCACCTGACTGCCAGTACCCACGTATGGATAGCAGTGATTGCTGCGCAGATTGCAGAAATGGTGAGCTGAATTATTTTAAAATGCGAAGTTCAATTGTTTTTTAAAGGGAAATGTTTTGTATTATCGGAAGCAGTGGCGTAACCCATTTGCGCTCTTGTGCGGCAGTCCACCGGGCCCCCGACCCCTAGGGGCTCCAAAGAGGCCTCTAAACCACATGATCTTTGATCTGGCACCCTGACCCAAAAGGGATTTGTTGATACATAACAGCATAATGTGTCTCTGACATCGACTGTATACCATATTGTATCCAGTGGTGAATTAAATGGCTCCTAAATTTTAAGTCTGTGAGTGCCTTTTCTGGCCATTTAGAGGTGCCATAATCATAAATTTTCTTTATCAATGAAAGTCTCTCCCTGGGACCTATTAAACATTCCTGGATTCCCACTCACATCACTGTATATAATTTATTTTGTTATTAAACATTTAGAATGCAATGACAAACATTTAAAAAACGAGCACATCTAAAATCTCACAATGGAATTGGCAACCGGGACCCAAAAGGCCCCACTCTCAGAAAGCCACAGGCCCCCCGGCCCATCGTTACACCACTGACTGGGAGTAAAGATCAAACGATGTCAAAGGTTGCGTTCACATAGAACTAAAATGTAAACCATTTAATTAATCGACTGACGCAATTTCCATCGTGTGTCATTGTGAACAAGATTACAGTGATAGTCGAAAGCTTAAAACGTAAGTTCTTTTGTTTTCTGCTTTATTCAGAGATATAAATTTTTAATTGATATTTATCATTCAATTAATAGAAATTAAAAGAAAAATATAACTCCCTATTAAATAGCAAGCAGTGCCCACTCCACAGTAAATTTAGAGGTTAGTAAGTTGATAACAACAGTAATTTAAATCATAATAATAAGGCTTTTTATACCCTGTTTCGCGAACTTAAGATTGTCAGAGGAGGGCAGAAAAACAATTAAAATGCAATTTTGATTTCTTATTCAGCAAATAGTTTAGCATAATTAGAGTAGGAACGGTTTGAAAGTTAAGAAAGTATCTAGCCCGGGAAAGGAGAAAGATAGAAGAGTTAAGTTTTTTACAAAGGTGGGAGATGTGGTTGTTCCAAGTGAGATTGTTGTCAATATGAACACCAAGGTGCTTAATACAAGTGACGTTTTCGATAGGCAGATGATTGATAGTACGTTTTATAGCAGGACTACGTCTAAGATTTTGAGAAGTTCCAATTAGCATAGATTTAGTTTTTTAAATATTTAGATATAGTTTGTTTGCAGAAAGCCAAGAATAGAGATGAGAGATTGTTGTTAAGGGCTGGTGATTTATTGGCTGTGTAAATAATAGTATCATCAGCAAACATGTTGGCCGAACAGTTATCGGTTAAAGAGGACCAAGAATAGTGCCGGGGGGGGGGGGATGCCAGTGTGTAAGGGAAGGAGAGAAGAGAGAGAATAATTGAAGGAGACACGTTGGAAGCGAAACGAAAGGTAGGAGTGAAGCCAGAGGATAGTTTTATGAGAAAGGCCAAAGAAAGGAGGTTTTTTTCAGCAGGATGGAGTGGTTAATAGTGTCAAAAGCTTTGCGTAAGTTGATGAAGACAGTGCCAATAAGGTTTCCGTGATTGATATGTTAAAGCCAGGTGTCATGAGTATTAATAAGAGCGGTAAGGGTAGAATGGCCAGGCCGAAATCCAGATTGTTGTTCAGAGAGAAGATTATTAGAGAGAAGGTAGTGGTAAAGTTGAGAATGAATAGCTTTTTCAAGGATTTTGGAACAAAGGGGAAGGACAAAAATAGAAAGGTAATTGAAGAGTTTGTTTTTGGGGCCAGACTTAAAGATGGGGTAGACTTAAGGGATATTCCACATAGAAGGGAAAGTGCAGGAAGTAATAGACAGATTGAGAATATAGGTAAGAGGTCGAGCAATAACCGGGGCTGCCAACCTAAGGAGTTTACCATCAACCCCGTCCAGGTCAGCAGACTTACCAGGATTAATGATAGAACTTTCCCGTAGAACAAATTAATTTCCTGGAAGTTTAAGCCCCGAAGATGGGTTTGGTCAACACCACAAGAGACATTGACGAAAAAATGATTAAAAGAGTTAGCAATAATACTAGTATCGGAAACATTATTGTTGTTGATATTGAAGTTTATAGAAGTATTTGTGGATTTGTTAGAGGGTAATATGTCCTTTAGTCCTTTCCACAATTTCTTTGGATTTCCGGAGTGTTTGTTTGTGTGCCGTTTATAATAGTCCGCTTTAGCCTCACGGTACATTTTAGTGACTTTATTTTTCACCGAGCAGAATTTCTTAGTCGTCCTCAATTTTTGTTCTCATTGCTTTAGTCTTTAAGTGGTCTCTGTGGTGAAATTTCTCGAATATATCGTGACGATTTTGTAGCCACTCCGGTAATAATACGGATTTGAATTTATGAGTGACAAAGTGCGCATGCTTGTTGCAAATACTTGAGAACATTTCAGTCCAAAGAGATAATGCAGCATTAACGTCAGTAATGCTTTGAATAATATTTTGTTTGTTGTTCTATTTGTGTTTTTTGTTTTTTTGTTTTGTTAACAAATCAATAATATTCCTGAATGATTTAGGGTGCACCTACAATAGCAGTAACTACGACAATGGTGAGAAAGTTATGGAAGATAGATGCCAAACATGTATGTGTATGGAAGGCGAATTGATGTGCAATAATGTCACCTGTGAAATCCCAACATGCACCAATCCAACACTCCCTGCTGATGCTTGTTGCCCAGTTTGTGAAGGTAATTATATTTTGGTTTTTAATCCTAGGTTTAACATATATTTTTCATTGTGTTTTACTGCATGAAGCTGACAAATTTCTAGTAAACTTCTAAAAACTCCCATATGAAAAATATTGGGTGTTCAAGAATAGAGCAATTAAAATTTAGTTGAATAGAGCAAATGGAACATGGAGAGAGCAGCCAGCTAAGTCGACTAACTCGTGGTAGGCACTGTGTGTGCGCTGAACCGTGGAGATCTCTTGGTCCCCGGTTCAATTCCCATCGCTGCTCTCATTGTAGTTCAGCTGGTAGGCTGAAATGCGAGTTACGGTAGTGCAGTGTCTTTTGGATGAGATGTTTAAGCCGTTGGTCCCATATGCATTATGGCCCATGTGCATGTTAAAGGATGCAGTGCACTCTTCGGAAAAGAGTAGGGGATTGTCTCCTGGTGTACTGCTCAATTCATCTCCAGAAAGACCCCACTGGAAACAAGTCTTCAGTGGGTTATCCTTGGTGGTATTCACACCCAATATACTCCTATCCTATCCAAAAGGCCTTTTATAATTTTCAAATTATATTTATAATTACAGAGTGTGAATACAATGGTATTACATATGAAAATGGAAGAGTAATTCCAACAAATAATTATTGCGAAGACTGTCGCTGTATCAGTGGATTGGTGACGTGCTATCCAGTTGAATGTCCTACCTTACTATGTTCGCACCCGGGACGAGTCACCAATCAGTGCTGTAGTGTTTGTGGACCATGCGAGTACCAGAGACGGAACATTGAAAACCGTCGACGATTTCAAGACCCACAAGATCCATGCCTGATCTGTATTTGTGAGGTGAGAATGTTATTTAGAAATAATTATAGTTTATTTTTGTTAATACTTATCAAAAAATAATCTACTAAGTCATGACTCCTTTTGTGAAAATTACCTAAACAATACTTATTAATATTGATGCTTTTGTTACAAAAGGACTTATTTCCCCAGTGGCAGCTTTAGATATACGTAGTGTTAGATGCAGTGGAAAACTAGTTTAAAAAATGTATAATAAATTGTTATTGTTATACATATACAGTATTACAGCATTTTTGTAATGCTCAAAGCATGGATTTCAGTAGCTCAAACAGTAACTATTCTCCTCAAAGGGTCTCCTTATGTCTGAGCTGGCCGGTAAACCGGTATTAGCTTCTCTCTTCTGTGTACAACAGGCTGTATAGAGCAGTACACTGGATAAATTGACTAATCGCCACTGTTCCTTTAAGAACACCCCTGCAACAAAAATAGAACAGTCTTGTGATGTTTTTAATATTTTTATTGTTAATATTACTACTGTATTTTTGTTATGTATAGGATGGCTCTGTGACCTGTCAAAGGACGACTTGTGAACCAGTTGATTGTCCAAATTCTTTAATTCCTGATGGAGAATGCTGTCCTGTCTGCCAGGACTGTACCTATGGTGGAATTTTGTACCTTGATGGCAAAATTTTCCAATCACCCTTAAACCCATGTGAAACATGTTTGTGCATGGTAGGTACACCTCTTGTTATTAGGGATATGATATACTATTGGTCATGAAATGGGCCAATATCTTTAAAAAGTATTTCATTTAAAAGAATCAAATTATTTATATTGTTTAATTGTACTTGCCATGTGTAGTTTAAAGAATGTATATTGTAATCAACTCTTGTACAGGGATATTTTCCTTTGTCGGCTACTATCTTATTTTTTTGTTTTGGCATAGAATTATGAAATTATGACTTATCTTCCAGGTACACACAAATTACAGTACTCTATTTATATTGAAGATTAAGTGCTAACTAAATCTATTATTAACTTTTGCTTATCTTGTTTACTTTAATCCGAAAATTATTTAAAAATCTTCTTACCAATTAAGATGTTCAAATTATTGGGTGGCATTTTATTTCAAACAGCTGTTTATTTGTATTATTACTATGCTGTAATTCATATAGTTACCATATCATATAATATTATTTTGTTTTTTAATAGAAATAATTGTACTCAAATTATCATTATCTGTTGGATTATACTATATTTTATTATTTCAACTTGGTTCATTATGGCAGAGTGGGAGAGTGCAATGTCAAGAACAATCCTGCCCATCAACTCCATGTACGCATCCTTACAAAGACCCGGCTGCCTGCTGTCCTCTCTGTGATCACTGTTTGTATGATCAGCGGTTCATCAGGAATGGGCAAGTGTTTGTTGACCCAACGGACCAGTGTAGGCGGTGCCAGTGCATTGTAAGTGCAGAAAATTATCATGGGTTACTTCGTTCGGTTTTATACTCTAAAACATGTTCCAAAAAATAGACATATATGTGGCTATATAATCCTGGTGTTGAAGATAATAGAAGTGTGTAGAGCAGGTAATATATTTTACGAAGGCCTAGTAGTTCTGATCCTTGTAAATATACTTGGATATTTTTCTCTTACCAAAAATTTACTTTGCCTTCCAAGCCTCATAAGGAAACCTTGTTGTTGCACATCAAGAGTCCCAAATGATGAGATCTGCACCCCCAAACCTCCTAAATATTTGTAGGCTACTGTCAGACAAAGCACAAAAAATTGAATTAAAACATTAAATCAATCTAGTTTCATTCCGTTTCCTGTTTTGGTTATGCATAATGCTTGATTGACTGGTTGGATGTAGACCATTTTCGCGAAATTTGAAATGAAAATTTCCTATAACCGGCAACTAAGACTGGGGGACTTCCAGAGGCCTACGCACTTTGCGCCACATAGTTACCAGTGTGCGCGCGGCGATCTATCCGACAACAGCTAGCTGCTCAGGCTAGGCTAGGCCGCTGGAAGTCCACCAGTGAGTTGTAAGATGTTGACGCCACTGTTTCAATATATACCCAATAAAATGGTCTATAATCAGTGTTATATATATATCTAACTGAAATTTACTGATCGATATTAAAATTTATGTAAACTATTGCTTCTGTTGTTTAGGATGTACATACCATGGACTTGAATATGAAAATCGTCAGTCGTTTGAAGATCCGTTTGACCAGTGCAGGCAGTGTGTTTGCCTGGTAAGTAATTGACGCCCCCAGTGTGTTGTTATTACTACCTTTACCTGTCTAATACTCAAATTCAGATGATAGAAATGTAACAATATTAACAATTGTAGCAAGGATATTTTCCCTAGCAAGGATGTTCAGGGATATCACCACGCTGGTCGGGGGTGGACGGGCCCGTCCAGCACTCGTCATTTCCGACCAGGATTTACAGGCTCCCGACCACCACTATTATTTCAACAGTTTACAAATTGTAACAAAATAATTAGTTTACCTAAACACAATAGACAAGCTAAATTAATAGATAAAGACAAGAAGAATACAATAAATGTTTCCGTGGTTACGTTAATTGTAACAAAATACTGCACTGCCCCTGTCATAGCGAACGTCGTGGGCGCGCCGGCATGACACGGTTGCTGTACACATTCAAAGGTTAAAGTTGAAATCGTGACCATTCAAGTGTTTTATTATGAGAGCATGATCCAGGGCAGGAAGATTATTAAAAATTTACGAAACCTGATTTATGTTTATTATTTCTATACTTTGTTTTCATTTTGTATTTTAAGTTTTTCACTTTTAGTTATAATTGATATATAATGTGTAAATGGACAAAAAATATATACATGAGTGCACATGAATCAGTGACATACACATTCATCGTGGTAATCGTCAAACATGTGAAATTACAGTCGGATCGACACTTTGTCGCCGGGATTTGTTCATTATTATTTTTTAATCTAAAACAAAGCATGTTTTGTTGCATTCCTCAAATTCTGGCCTAGGTAGGACTAGGCCTACCTGGGCCTAGCCTAAAAAAATCATCAGCTAGCCTTGGGCCTAGGCCTGCTTGACTTAGGCCTTTTGGTTTTTAAGAGCTTCCACGAATACGGCGACCACTTCCTCGGGAAAACGGGGGGGGGGTCGCCCCACCCCTTCCCCGGGAAAACGTGGGATGATCGCCGACCGGCACTCCAAAAAGCTGGTGACATCCCTGGATGTTTTGTTCATGAGAGTACATATGCTTGTAAGAAGACAAAAGGCAACTTGGTTAAAAAGCGAGGACTCAAAAGATATTTAGCAAAGATCTGTGAACATGATAACAGAGAGTTTATCTTCTACTTTGGGATTTTTATTTTCTTCACTGTCTCTGTATCAATAGTCATGTGAATATGAGTAATCTCTTTTGGAAAATATTGGAACAGATATTGCTGTTAATACTTAGCACTTAATGTTTGAATCAGGTATTAGCTCTATCTTGAACTGAATTTTGTTATACAGAATAATTATTGTATTAATCTTGCCTGATGGCATCTGTATATAAATATTTTAATATGAGGCTTTTCATGAGCTTTAAATATGATGGGTCATTTACTAGAATTGACTTAATAAGTTATGAGTAAAAGTATTGTGGCTTCTCTGTACTGCTACATTTTTATGCTAATTACTTAATTTAACATTTAGCAACAGTATGCTGGTTGTGCAATGGCAAGCCTCATATTGTAGAGACATAAGTAATACTCAAATTTTATTTTAAAATTCTATATGGAATCATTGTAATGGCTCAGACCAGAATTGATGCCATGTGTGTTTTCTTTTGTGTAGAATGGAGAGGTTGAATGTCAGGATCGTCCGTGTTCACCTGTGTCTTGTCCAGGATCAATTGTTCCCAGAGTAGCCCAGGGTGAATGCTGTCCCAGGTGCCTCGGTAAGTTCTCAGTTTTCTCAAAAACACTTTTTTGACATTTTAGAAAGTTATGTTTAGGAATGTCTAAATTCAGTTAAACTATCAATTTCATATTATATATATAAATCTTTATAACATATGAAAATCAGATTTTTCCTAAAAACTGATATTTTGCCGGGAATGGGGCTTTAAAGACACATTGTTATCCACGTATCGAAATGCATACCATCGTGTCGGGATTCAATATTTCGACATTGATTATGTCATCATCATGTTATTACCATATATCTATAACTACAACTGTTTCTGCCATTAACAATTTAAACATCCTTGTTCACACTGTTTTTCTCACTAGGCCAAACAAAAAAAAAATTTTGTGTTGGTCACGCCCGACCCACCCAAAATGTACGTAATTTGGGGTTCGGCATTTTATTTTTTATTTTTTTAAATTATTTTGTTTGGAGGAGTGAAAAATATTTCTTTAATGAGCTAAAAAAAGCTGGAATTGGCCTATCTTGCTGTACGGTAGGCGATGCGACAGTGTTATGCAAACGTTTTGCTCTTCACTATAGATTTTTAAATGGTCTTTGTTTTTTTTTTTTGTGTATTTTCTACTTTTTAGGCATAGACACATAATTGGTCCTACCTACTTAACATTTTGTATATTTTCCCAAAAAAATCACAAGATTTTTTTTGTTGGCCTTATTATTATTTTGTTAATTCTATCTGTTCTCATTGACTTTTATTTATTTATTTACTTATTTATTATTCAAAATATAACTGTACAGTTGATAGTAAATAGTAGTTCTCATAATCAATTTTAACACTTAAATTATGCTTTTGTCAACATAGATTGCACATATGGTGGTAGAGTATATCGCAACGGCGACTCGTTCCCTGATCCACGTGATAATTGCAATACTTGTCTGTGTCTTGTTGGATTTGTTGAGTGTCAGCCACGAGAGTGTCTGCCAGTCAACTGCCGCAATCCTATTGTTAGGGAATGCTGCCCAACATGTGATGGTGAGTTTTTGTATGTAATTGTTTTTAAAATTTATTTGGTAAAAGATTTAAATGATTTGTAATGCGGGAAACTTAAAAATAGAATTTAAAAAAAATATATTGTATCGCGTCTATTCATACTTTAATTTAATATATGTACAGAATATTAAGTTTTTTCCATAACTACTATTTACTATCAACTGTACATTTAGGAATATATACAAAATGAAATGTCATTCAGGTTGTTCCTATGGAAGTGTTGATATAAGAGAAGGCCAAGACTTTGAGGATCCCAGCGACAAATGCCGTAGATGCCGTTGCAATGTAAGACCAGCTTAATTCTATAGTCAATTTCTGACTTTTCTACTGTTCTGTAATATTTTCTGATTTTTTTTTTCTTGCTGCTACATAATATGTACCATCTCTGAGTGAATTATCACCAGTTTAGCCAACTGGGTATTGTAATGAAGTATAGGATGCTTTATATAGTTGGTATATTACTATTATTATTATTATTGTTTTTTTAGGGTGGCAATATTGAGTGTGAGGACATAATTTGCCCTGACCTCGCCTGCCGTAACCAAAGGAAACCACCAGGGGAATGCTGTGCCACCTGTATTGAAGGTGAGGTAATTTTATGCAAATTATTCATAATTGTGTTATTTTAATTTTTATTCTGTACATCACACTTGTCTATAACGTGGTTTTAATTGTATATTCCAGATTATCCGTGCGTTCTCCATGGTGTACAATTTCCATCTGGGGAAAGCATTCCAAACCCAAAAAACAATTGCGAAAATTGCTACTGTGATAATGGCCTGAGAACCTGCCAAATTATACCATGTCCCTCAACAAATTGTCCATACCCCTTGCGAGGGCAGTGTTGCCTCACTTGTGAAGGTACAATTTTTTTTTATTGTTTCTGTCTTTATTGCTTTAGTAAATCATTCATAGGTATTAGAGGTTTAAAAGTAGAAATCTGCTGAAAAATGTGGAAATATTTAAATTGTAGGAATTATTTTGTGCATCATTTTTATTGATATGGGGCTAACCATGCCAAAATCATCATCGGTGACCAAAACAAGAATATTTACTTTTTAATATATTCATATTCTCCACATTATATGCTTTAAAATGATTGGTAATTTACTGAAATCAACTCACTTTTAGTTATGGTTAAAAGTATTACAGCGTCTCTGTGCTAAAGTATGCAATACTGCTACATTCTTATGGTAATTACTCAGTTTAACATTTAGCAACAGTATGCTGGAGTTTGGGATAGCAAACCTCATATTTGCTATTTTTCAGATGGGTGTACGTATGCTGGTATTGACTACACAACTGGAACTACTTTTCCTGCTGACAGCAGTGATCCGTGTCAGATTTGTACATGCACAGTAGGTGTTGCCTAGACATTAGAGGTGTTGTTGTGTTATCTAGTACGTTACTACTCTAGGCATGCCACCACCCAGATATCTTGTCTTGCCATTTAACCTGTTAATTTTCCAACCCCTTGTCACCTGACTAAAAAAAGTACATAAAAATGGAGTTATCCATCCCAGTGCTTCATATATATACAGAACATGTACGTTTGTGAGAGAACACATGTATTTTTGGGACAAGCGCTTATCCCTGACCCTTTTCTGATTGATCGGTTGTTAAGCTTGTATAGGTCGATCACCATGCTGTCGCCTTTATCAACATACTGTCACCCTTATGTACATATTGTGCTTCTTACTAAGTAGACTGCTCTACTAAGGTATTTATTCTATTCTCAGAGAGGGTTTGTGAATTGTGAGAAAACCACTTGCCCCTCTCAGCCATGTTTCCACCCTGTTAAAGAAGCCAGCCAGTGTTGTCCAGTGTGCAATGATTGCTTATATGAGGGTCGTCATTACAGAAATGGGGAAACATTTAACGATACCCTGGACATTTGTCGCCAGTGTATGTGTTTGGTAAGTTTTGGGATGTTTAAAAGCTTTTGTTTTTCAAAGTTGTTTTAATAGGTTGTTTTGTTTTTTATTTTAAAATTTTATATATTTATTTAAAGTCACATGTAGAAACCCAGTTAATTTTAAAATTTAATATAATGTTTGATCAGAGAAAGTCTAATCAAACATATTTCAAAGTTCAAAAAAAATATGTTGACCTTAGTCTTAAGTCCTGTCCAGACTATCAAATTTTGTTTGACGAAAACATGTGACATGCCTAAATATGGTCATGATGACATCACATCATGACCTTATATAGGCACATCGTGACTATATATGGGCATGCATCAGTTTTTGTCAAAGAAAATTTGATAATCGTTGTATATTGCTTCATACCACATCGGTCATTGAATCAAACACATATGGAACACATACTTGGCTCTCTAGCAAGAATGTTATAATGCTGCATCTGGTAATCAGTGTATTTGTGTTTGAACTACCAGGTACTCACTTTTATTCCTTTGATAAAGAAAAACAACTGTAGGTAAAGCACTTTGCCCTAGTACAGAAGCAGAATGGCCGATGTGCGATTGAACCCCAACCTGGAGGTTGTTGAAATGCAACTGCTGTGCCAAACCGCTTTCACATTTTAATAACAAAAGTATTGTAATATGCTATTACATTTACAGTACATGTTTGTCGAGATATCCAGTCCAATTAATTTCACTTCAAACATTAAACAAAATTTAATTATATTTTTCTGTTGTTTGTTTTAATTTAGAATGGCAATGTAAACTGTGCCACCAAACAGTGTATGACAGCTCTGTGTACGCATCCTGCCACTGATCGTTGTGGTTGCAGAGAGTGCAATGGTTAGACTTCATTTCAGATTTCCTACTAACTGAACTCTGAGCTTTTTTTGTAAATTTTCACTAAGGAATTTGGCAAATTTTTGTTTTCTGTGAATTTTCATCCAAATTTCACCCTCTAGAAAATCTTACTCGATGTTTATTCTTCAGGGATTTCACTAATTTCACCCTCTAGAGATTCTTCTAAGTGTTAACCCAAAAGGGGTTTTTCTAGATTTCAACACTTTTGAGATTTCCACTGGAATTTATCCATATAGATAATTGTACGCAATTAATTCTCTACTGTGTGTTGTAAACTTTCACACTAAAAGTGTTTTTTAAAACATTAACCCTCTAAAGAGTTTAACCATGTAGGGATCGTGTTCGATTTTAACTGATTAGTTGTTTTATTTATATGAAGTGCAGTGTAGCATACAGTAGTTCAAAATGTTTTTTAAAAAAAGGGCTAAGAATATTTAGAATATTTACACTACCACTATTATGGGCTGCTGCTCAATAATATGATCAAAGACGCTACATGAACATTGTCCAGATTGAAAAGTTTTATAAATAAAAAGACTTTTTCAGCCAATCTAGATTCTGGTGTACTCTTATTTGACCAGCAGTTATTTTATTACAGTAAGATACATAATTACGCTCAATCAATTCTATGATTCGTAATAGCAATGCTCGTATCTGTTGATAGATTGTATGTTGGATGAGGTGGTTGCTCGAAATGGACAGATATTTGACAATCCGAATGATAAGTGCCAGGATTGTCTCTGCCTTGTAAGTTCATATTTATATTTTAGGACTTCTTTTTTATTACTGTCAATTTACGTCACATTTTGTTTCTATATGTCTAATTCTCTATTTGTGTGTCTATCTGTTCAGCTCTGTCAAATCATGTAACTCTGTCTTGTCATCAACATATTAATCTCAATCTTCTTATTTAATTCTAGGATGGATATGTACGATGCACAGATAAGCAGTGTCCTACTCTGTCCCCCATGTGCCTTGACCCTATTAAGTTGCCTGGAGAGTGCTGTCCATCTTGCAGAAAAATGGGTAAGGATATAAAACGTGGGGGCTTACAGATTACTTAGCTAATATTGTCTGTTACTCTGTAACAGTGTTACTCTGCAACATTGTTACTCTGCAACATTGTTACTCTATGACATTGCTAATTTGTAACATTGTTACTCTGTAAGATTGTTACTCTAAGATTGTTACTCTATAACATTGTTACTCTGTACCATTGTTACTCTGCAACATTGTTACTCTGCAACATTGTTACTCTGCAACATTGTTACTCTGCAACATTGTTACTCTGTAGCATTGCTACTCTGTAACATTGTTACGCTGTAACATTGTTGCTCTGTAACGTTGCTACTCTGCAACATTTTTACTCTGTAACATTGTTACTCTGTAACATTGTTACTTTGTGGCATTGTGATTTCATTTAGTGTATTATGTTTCATTTGGTTAATTTTCGTTTAAAGGCTGCAGTGACCGAGAGGAACTCGATCCGTGTGAAGAATGTAATTGCGTGAATGGACAGTGGTCATGTAGCCGCAGGGAGTGTGTACTGCCCTCGTGTCCACATCCTGGTCGTGGAATGTGCTGCATGGAATGCAACGGTGAGACATGTCACATTATTTATGAGTCTATTTTGTGAATATTGTCCTGATTCAGAATCAGAGTCAAATTTATTTGTCCTCACGGAAATTACATTGGTCGTTCAAAGTTCCTAACATTCATACATACAGTGAAAAACGTTGCAACATACTGGTGCATACCATTTAATATAGATATACTGTAACCTATGAATGTATGAGCATACATTTAAAGTTTAATGATAATATAAGTCATTTATTACACTGATAAAATACGGTATAAATGTATATAAAGAATTCTGATGTTCTACACACATATGTTCTTAGATTCTGAGGTTAGATGCTGAGAATTTCTTTGCAGAACTTTCCCAAAGAAAATTCTGTTTTAATGTATTTGATTTTAAATAAATATATATATTTTTTTTTTTGAGTTACTTGTATATTTTGAATTGTTTTAGGCTGCACATACAATGGTAAGCCTTGGGCCAATGGAGATGTGTTTTCAGATCCAGCTGATGGTTGCAGAAGCTGTCAGTGTAGCGTGAGTTTTAACCTCCATCATCATCATTATATGAGCTATATCGTCATAACATTTTATTTTATTGCAACATTTTAGGTGAAAGTCAAATAAAATATAAAATGCCCCCCAAGGATATCCAAAAAAAACACTAACATATATGTTTAAGCTTAATAATATCTGCAGAAATTCCAAACGGGAAATACTTATATGTTTGGGTAGAGATGCTGGCTGCTGATTGGAATGAGTTAGAGGCGGGTGGAGGAGGGCAAACAAACAATTTATTTTTTTTGGCCTTAGTATCATCATCAATATCATCATCATTTCCAACATCATTGTTACTATTATCATCATCACATTGCCCATCCTTATAATCCTTCTAAAATCATTTAGATTGACTGGGTAAATAATGTTGAAAAGCACTCTGAGACTTGTATAGAGCGCTATATAAAAAACCTACATTATTATTGTTGTTATTATTATTATTATTATTAATATAGAACATGTTTTTTTGGTTGTAGAATGGAACTGTAAATTGCTCTCATCCAGTCTGCGAGGCACCACAATGTAGAAATCCCGTCGTGCCTGCTGGTCAGTGTTGTCCAATTTGCATTGGTAAGTGACTTACCTTGCTCGCATTTCTTTTGTGTATTTAATTCTTTAGTATTATTCATTGTCTTTAAAACATAGGAACACTTTTTTAACACAACTTTTAATTATACTACACTTAGATTTTATATTGTGAAGTATAAGGTAATGCTTTTACTATATTTTCTTCATATCATATTACTTTCTACACATAGGAACGTGCAATGTTGATGGTTTAGAAGTTGATAATGGTGAGACCTACACACCAGCATCTGATCCATGTGCCTCATGTACATGTAGGGTAAGTCATACATTAATCAATAACACCAGTGGCGTTACAAAGACTGGGTTTGTGTAGAGCCCAGTGGGGTATGTGGGAAAGCCCCCACCTGCTTCGGCGCTTTTTATATTTTATGGGCGTATTAATTTTGGTGTTTTTTACTGCTTCTCAAAATGGCTGGAAAAAGTTATAATGAATGTCCCAGGCCCCTGGCTTCAGCCACTAAAAGCTCACAGCTTTTATTCTACTACTCACTACTTACCCACACCTGCATACCCACATGATCATCTGCATACCCACATGATCATCTGCATACCCACACCTACATACCCACATATGCTTACGTACACCTGTATTTCACACCTGCATACCCACACCTGCAATATTCACATGTGCTTACCTACATCTCAATACACACATCTGCTTATCTACACATGCATTGATTTTGTAATGATTATGCTTTAAATTCATGCATTTTTCTTTCAGAATGGCCAAGTTTTCTGTAAAACAGTTCAATGTCAACAATATTGTACTCACCCTCAACTACAGCCAGGCGACTGCTGTCCTACCTGCATAGGTAAATATGCAAAATGTTTCAAGTGCTGTTATGCAGTGCTATATACAACCTTAGGCTTATATAATGATTTATCCTGTCTTCTGAAATTTCAATATTTCATTGCTTTTTTCTTGTTTTTAGGTTATCATCTTATTGTAGTTTACCCTATTTCTGGACTATTTATTGTTGTTTTCCTCCATTTTAATGTGGATTACTCCCTTTGTAATTTACCACCTATGACTATAATGTAATAGTTATGTGTACACTATGTTCTATTTGTTCTGTTTACTGAATGTACAGCTGTATTACTAAATAGAAATTGGCTTTTTTTTATTTTCTTCCAGACTGTTACTATAATGGAATTGTGTATCAAAATAATGAAGTGTTTGTACCACAAAATAATAACTGTCAAGAATGCATTTGTCAGGTAGGCAGTATTCTTCTTATTTAGATTTCCTGTTCTTTATTTTTGTCATTATTTATGTTTGATTTTGTATAACGTTTACTGTAATACTGAGGTTCCAATCATTAACAAACAAACATTTCCATTATTAATTTTATCTGTCTTATTAGAATGGTAATGTAGTCTGCGACCAAGTTCAATGTCCACTTCTGCCATGTCCGAACCCTATCAATGTGCCCAACCAATGCTGCCAGATGTGTCCCGGTAGGTATTGTGTTTTATTTTTATTCTACTTTATGCATATTTGAAATAGTTCAATATTGGTTTTTAGCAACATACATATTCTAATGGTCTGACGTAGCACAAAACCAAACGTTGTTCAATTTTTAATGCAATAATGCTTGTTCTTTTTTTTCCTAAGTTTGCATGTTCCGTGGATATGAATATTTAGATGGCGCATCTTGGCTGGTTGAAGGTGATTCCTGTACTCAATGTGAATGTATAGTAAGTATTATTGTTCCTATCTAAAATGCCGGTACACACTTATCTGCTTCAGGTTTTTAGGTAATGAATGGGGTTAAATTTCTCCTTGCCCAGCATGATTATTTCACCTTTTAGTGGTCCTGAAAAGCACAAGGGTCTCAGTTGGTCATAACAATTTAATGGACTGTTCAACCCACCTCTTGTCTAAAATCTGTCTAACATTTTTCTGCTCACATTTACCCTATCCACCCATTCATATCTGGGACGAGTTGAATGGCCAAGCGGTTAAGGCAAAGGTGCTGGTTTGAACTGCACTCGTCTGGTTCTGGAGGTGAACAAGTCTTCTTGGATAAGGACTATGGACCATAGGCCCAGTGTATAGAATTGGTTCATGTGCACTCTAAAAAACCCAGTACATCTTTCGAGACAAGTAGAGGGGTTACCCCAGTGTACTGGTCTATACAGCCCCTGTGGTGCACAGACAAGTGTAGCTAGTTGTGGTTTACTTGGTAGCTCAGACATGAAGAGACCAGTAGGGGAGAAGGAAGTTACTGTAGGAGCAAGTCCACACTTGAAGCACTTGGATCATCATGAAGTAGGGCTATATAATTGCTTTAATGTATGTATTTCTCCATGATTTTTGTCACTTCTCCATTTATCAATGTTTTTCTTCATCAGGGTTCAACAGTTTCTTGTGGACGACTTGAGTGCCAGGAAGCAGATTGCAGCCACCCAGTCCCAGGTGCATGCTGCCCTCTATGTGAGAGTTGCCTGTTTGAGGAGAAAATCTACAACAATGGTGAAAACTTCAGACCTGATAACTGCAGGAACTGTCTTTGTTCAGTAAGCTGAGAATAAATTATGTAGCAAGAGAATATATATATATAGTTCATTAGCAATGGTGTATTTACATGGGGAGGGGTATTGATAGAGAAAGTTGGAGATATGAGGTGATTTTAACTACCCCACTGCAATCTGTAATTTTGTTCACAAGTATTTGACAATCTACTGAGTATTCAGTACGATAACATGTCAGGTAGGATAAATCATCACTCTTATGATATTTTTCTGATTCAAACACACATTGAAACAGTGTAATCTGTTTGCTTAGAAAATTCGTGGGGATCGTACACTAGTGGATGCACACTTTCTGAAAGATGTGTGTTCCATATTCCTTTTCCCAAATATATATGGTGATAATGGTTGGAGTAAGTTATAATTGTTTTTTTTTTTAATTGTCAATCATCTTTTATATTAACTGTATTGAGACAAATGCTTCCGTTTATTCCATATTAACTTTGATAGTGTTTCTGTTTAAAGGAAGGCAACATTCAGTGCATTGTAAAAACGTGCCCCCAACTCACTTGTCTGGATAAAGTACAAGTCCCAGGAGAATGCTGTGAAAAATGTAGAGGTAAGTGATCAAGTGATATGCTCAACCCCATCCTGTCTTCTACCAACCCCCCCCCCCTTCCCTTCCTCATAATGTTTGGTTTTGGAGGATAACACTTTTTAGGCATTGTAAAGGCCTCTTTATACTTCAACGATAACGATAAAAAGAACTAAAAAACGGTTGTTCATATAGAAAAAAAAGTTTTTACACTAGGACGATTTGATAACGATTTATCGTGTATACGATAACAAAATATTTTAACAAATCAAATCAGATGACATCATAACCATGTAAAAACGATAAAATCGTTGCTACTACTACAATTTTAATGTTTTTCCATGATTATGACGTCATCTGATTTGATTTGTCAAAATATATTGTTATCGCATAACTGATAAATCGTTATCAAATCGTTCTAGTGTAGAAACTTCTCTTATTTCTTTTATTTTCTATATGAACAATTGCTTTTTAGATTTTTTATCGTTATCGTTGAAGTATAAACAGGACTTAATCATTATTGAACATAAGCATAACCTAAGAAAAGTCAATGATGTATTGGACTAGGTTTTTTAAATAGTGTTTTTAAATAATTAAATTAAAAATGAAATATAAGATAACATTATAAGATAACAGATATAACATTTAATTGAATATTTTTTTATTATGTATAATTAAAGAATTATTAGATTTTTAAATAGTTGAAATATTTTTTTATTATGTATAATTTAAAAACTATTAGATTTTAAAAATAATATTAAAAAATGAAATATAAGAGATAACATTTATTTGAATATTTGTTTATTACCTGTATGTATAATTTAAAAAATATTAGATATTTATATAATGTTTTTAAATGGTTAAATAAATAAATGAAATACTGTATATGAGAACATTTGATTGGATATTTTTTATTATGTATAATTTAAAAGTTATTAGATTTTTAAAAATAATGTTATTGAATAATTAAACAAATAAATAAAGAATGAAATATAAGAGATAACTTTTGATTGAATATTTTTTTATTATGTATATTTAAAGAATTATGATGTTTTTTTTTGTATTATATAGGTTGTATCTATGAGAATGTTGAGTATGCTAGTGGAGAATCATGGAAAGCTAAGTCTAACCCTTGTCTGTCTTGTAACTGCCATGTGAGTACTACGGTATATGATACATACGAGGCACGTTGTATCAAAATGGCTAAGTTGTAGCAAAAATTGAAATTCAAGTTATTAGTATTTTCAGATACCTGAGTATGTGATCTTTAAAATGAGGGGTCATTCATTGAAATTGGACATTTCAAGCCTAAGTTATTGGAAAGTGAAATTACAGCACTCTTAGAG